GGGAGAGGTGGGGGGGAGGGGAGGGGAGGGGGAGGGGATGGCAGGAGGAAGGGAGATGGGGGAGGAGTAGGAAGGGGAAGAAGACGAAGACGAGGAGGAGCGGGAGGAGTTGGGTGATAGTTTTGGCTGCGGGGCTGAAGTAAGTGCGAGCAGTGTATGCAGAGCTGCACGTGTACAAGGGCGAGAGTGAAGCGAAAATGGAAAACTTCTTGCACGTGCTACAACATGATCGACCTGCCGTCGGGCAGTGTGTCTCGGGTCAACTACGATCCGATCGGAAGGTGAGACGGAGGAGAAGAGACGAAAGTAGAAAGAGCAGCAGCAGCAGCAGCAGCAGCAGCAGCAGCAGCAGCAGCAGCAGCAGCAGCAGCACGAGAGGAGCAGAGGGTGGTGGTGAAGGTGGAGGAGGCAACGGAGGGTTTGGCTGAGATGATGCGGCAGAGGGTTATTGACGGTTGACTCGCTGACGAAAGTCAGTACCGCGAGCTACAAGGTGAGCAAGGAGGCTGAGGTGTGGGGAAGGGAGGAAGAGGAGAAAACGGAGCAAGGGAGAGGAGAGCAGAGGAGAGAGACAAGGAGAGAGCAGAGGAGGAAGCTGATTTTCGGGAGGGAGGAAGGAGGAGGAGGGGGGGAGAAGAGAGGTACTGACGAGGATGGGAGCAGGGGAAATGCTCTTGTACGTGTGCGAATCAATACGGTTTCTAGAGGGGAGAGGGAGGAGAGGAGAGGAGAGGAGAGATGATGTAGATGTAGCGAGGATGGGACGGAGGTAGTCGCACAAGAGTCGTGTGAGCATGAAGATTTTATCATTGCAAGGATGACAGACCTTGAAGCTGAGGAGCTGATTGATTGCTACATCTACACACACATGCTTCATCCTTGCTCTTCGTACAAGGACAAGATGCTGTGCTTGCTGCACGTTGCGAGACTTGTTTCTGCTCAAAAGCATCTTTCCTTGGCCTTTGTCCCCGCTACATCTACATCATCTCTCCTCTCCTCTCCTCTCCTCCCTCTCCCCTCTAGAAACCGTATTGGTCCGCACACGTACAAGAGCATTTCCCCTGCTCCCATCCTCGTCAGTACCTCTCCTCTCCCCCCTCCTCCTTCCTCCCTCCCGAAACTCAGCTTCCTCCTCTGCTCTCTCCTTGTCTCTCTCCTCTGCTCTCCTCTCCCTTGCTCCGTTTTCTCCTCTTCCTCCCTTCCCCACACCTCAGCCTCCTTGCTCACCTTGTAGCTCGCGGTACTGACTTTCGTCAGCGAGTCAACCGTCAATAACCCTCTGCCGCATCATCTCAGCCAAACCCTCC